AAAAAAAAAAAAAAAAAGGATTGAAAAACACCCCACAACTTGAGACTGGGTAATTTATAAAGAAAAGAGGTTTAATTGGCTCACAGTTCTGCAGGCTTTACAGGAAGCATGGTGCTGACATCTGCTCGGCTTCTCGGGAGACCTCAGGAAGCTTTTACTTATGGTGGAAGGCAAAGCAGGAGCAGGCACATCACACGGCAAAAGCAGGGGCAAGAGAGAGCTGAGAAGAGGGGGGTGTTGCCACACATTTTAAAACGAGAACTCACTACCATGAAGATAGCACCAAGCAGTGAGGGACCTGTCCCCATGATCAAAACACCTCCCACCAGGCCCCACATCCAGCACTGGGGTTTACAATCCAACATGAAATTTGGGCAGAGACAAGATCCAAACTGTTATCACCTGGTGAGAGGTAATGGTGTCCTAAACTACAGCAATCATAGTGGAATAGAGAGAAAGGGGACAATATTGAGGCGATTTAGAACATAGATGCATTGATTCAGTAAGGGAGATGAGGTGAGGAAGACTGAAGAATCTAGGATGGCTGCCATGTTTCTGGTTGGATGATGATAGTTTATCTACCACAGTAGAGAATAAATGAAGAGGAGCACTCTTGTGAGGAAGGTGACATGTTCTACTTTAAATATGTTGACTTTGAAATGGATATCCAGGTGGGCTGGACATATGGACACATGGGTGGTAGCTGAAGCCAAATGCATGGATAACAGTTTTGGAAAAATAATAAGTGCACAATAAATGTCTGTTAATGATTCCATAAATCATGACAGTCCCTTTGCTTCCTCTTCTCTGGTGCTCTTCATGTTTGTTTTGGAGTTCCACCAGAGCCTCCAAGCCAAGCTTGTCCAACCCACAGCCTGTGGGCTGCATGCAGCCCAGGACGGCTTTGAATGATGCCCAACACAAATTTGTAAACCTTCTTAAAACATTATGAGGCTTTTTATTGTGATTTTTTTTTTTTTTTAAAAAGCTCATCAGCTACTGTTAGTGTTTTATGTGTGGCCCAAGACAAACTTTCTTCTTCCAGTGTGGCCCAGGAAAATCAAAAGATTGGACACCCCTGCCTAAGTTCTCTCTGTCTGTGAATGTCAAGACTGTGGCTCCCTTAAGGATCTCTTGGATGGATTTTCTATTCCTTGTAACTTCAAGCTCTTATACCAGCTTTGTAGACTGGCACTCAGACTGTCTCACCACAGCCCCTCATGCATATTGACTTAGGAAGAGAAGGCACTGGGAATGTGAAGAAGAAAAACTAGAACACTGTTTCTTTTTTCTTTTTGTTTTTGGAGACAGAATCTTCCTCTGTCCCCCAGGCTGGAGTGCAGTGGCGTGATCTCAGCTCACTGCAACCTCTGCCTCCCAGGTTCAAGTGATTCACATGCCTCAGCCTCCCAAGTAGCTGGATTTACAGGTGCCTGCCACCATGCCCAGCTAATTTTTGTATTTTTAGTAGAGACAGGGTTTTGCCATGTTGACCAGGCTGGTCTCGAACTCCTGACCTCAGGTGATCTGCTCACCTCGGCCTCCCAAAGTGCTGGGATTATAGGCGTGAGCCACTGTACCTGGCCTGTTTCTAGTACATTGCCTGGTTTCTATTTCTCTCTTCTCTGTGAGTAAAGTTCTCAAAAGTGTAACCTATACTTGCTAACAGTTTCTCACTTTCTAGTGGTAACTTGTAATCTGGTTCCCACCTTGCTCACTCTTTTGAAATTGCTCTCAAATGTCACTAGTGACCTTGTCACTGCCAAACCCAACGCCTCTTCTCTCTGTACCTGTTGGCACTGTTAGAACCTCCTCCTTAACAGTCTCTCCTTCCTTGGCTCCATGACATCTCACTTTCTTTGTCTCCTTCCTGCCTACCTGGTGGATTCTCTTTCACTCTTTGGGGGTCCTTCTTCCCATCCTCTAAACATAGGTATTCCTCTATGTGCCAGGCACTCGTCTCTCTGTGTAGTCTTTGTCGGCAACTACCCTGTTCTCACGGCTTCAAGTCATCCTGCCCTGGCAGCAACGACCCCCTTTCTCCCTCCGGTTCTGACCCCTCTCCACAGCTTCCAGCTCTTAACTCATCACTTCCTCTTCCCCCACCTCATGGCCTCACCAGGTGTGATCCCCCACTAGGCTCCCTATGCTCGTGAATGACCTCGCAGTTCTGATCACTTGCCTTGAGACTCTAATATGATGTCTGAAGTTTCCCTTGTTTGCTTATCATGTCAAGGTGGCTTCAAAGTTTTTTTCATTTTCTTTTGATTTTTCTGTACTCCAATTCATTTTGTGTGTTCCACTTTTCACCATTGCCATGCCGATTTGGGCTCTCATCTCTTCATGCTTATATTATTGGAGTTACTTTCTATCTAGTCTACTTGACTATTGTATCCTCTTGGTTCAAACTATTTGGTCACCTCCAGATTAATTTTCTAAAATTCTATAGCTTTCTCCTACCCTGTCCTTCTCAAGAACCTTCAATTGCTCTCCATTGCCTACAGAAACTCTGGCCTGACCACAAATCAGCACAACTCTGCGTTTCTTCCGGGTGTTCCCCTTAACACGAACACTGCCCATGGTGCCCAACTTTTAGTCCAGTCCTTCCAACTTCTCCAATGAAGCTATTTAAAATGGACTTTTACTTATCTTATGGCTTTTAGAGGTTAAACTAAGCTACATTTCTAGTTTCTTTCCTTTTTTACCTGAATTTATAGCAACTCAATATGGTAACACTGATTATTGATTAGCAGTTAAATGTTTATGATGATCAAAAATGAGGAAATAATTATATTCTTTAATAAATGCTGGGTGTGTGTGTGGGGGGGGGCGTGAATAAAAACCTCTCAAAACATAGATTCAGGTGATTAAAAAATTTTTTGGTGATGAAAGGGTTGAGAACCACCACCCTGCACTCTAATCTAGTAAATGAGACAGTTTGATGCTGTTTCCCAAGCAAACTTGTATTTTCACGTCTCCCCAGGACTCTGCCACATTGTTCCCTCTGCCTTAAACGGAACCAAGTCCTGGGGACTCCCCACCATGTCTCAGCCCCTGAATCTTCTACTTCCTTTGGGACCCTAATCAGTTGTTACCTCTTCCCTCCCACATCTGCTGGGAGCCCCCTGAGTAGAGTGACCTCTCCCTTCTGCAGCCTTCGGTCCCTCCCGCACTTCGCCGCGGGTTCGGGCCTTATCTTTCCTGGCGGAGAAATTCGCTACAGGTGGGCACGGTGTGCTGCGCGTCACGCACCCAGCACCGCACCGGGGACTTAGGAAACGGTGAACAACACGGGAACTGTGCCCAAGGAAAGGGAGCCCAGCACTACTCCGCCCCAATCTCACTCCCAGGCCCCGCCTTCGGCGCCGCCTGCCGGGCCACTGGGCCGGTCCTGAATTCATTTCCACTTCATTAACTCTGCCCCAGTCCCGCCCCCCGGCTCCAGCTCTCGTAACCCATCTCTGACACGACCGTCTCCCTTTTCTTCCTTCTCCCTTCCCCTGTCACCCTGCCAGCTCTGCGCCTATCGCTTCGCGTATCGTCTCTTCATCTCGCTTTCTCCCCGGGTCTGTCTGGGTCTCTGTCTCTGGGTATTTCTCTCTGCACCTCCATCTGTCTGGGTCTCCGCTTCCTTGCCCCGCACGCGCCGCCCCCTGCCCAAGCCCCTCCAATCCCGGCGGCTCGAGCCTAGCGCTCCACTCTCCCATTGGTCCGTCCGGAGACCCCCGCCCCCGCCTGCCCGGCCCCCCTCTGGGCCCCTCCATTCACACAAAGTTTGGCTCCGGCGCTGCGGAGGGAGGGGGCGGCCCGGCCCGGCCCAGCTCTGCCCCCGGCCGGCCCGACCCCGGCCCCGGCCCCCGGACAAGCCCTTATCTGATCCCAGCTCGGGGTTTAAGAGTCCTGACCCTGCCTGTCGCACAGCTCTGCTCCTTACTCCTGCCCGCCCAGTCCGTCCATCTGTCCCGCTGCCCCGCGGCCCATCCAAGGGGCCACTCCACCTCGGACCCAAGGTAAGACCCTGGCCCTGATGAAGGAGTGCTGCCCCCCGCCCCCGGCCGGGTCCTGTCCCCGTAACTCTCCAGAGACATCGGGGCCCCAGCTCCCCAGTCCCTGTCCTGCCTGGCCCCAGAGGTACGGTCTTGTTCCCCTGCCTCCCTCCTTGGGCAGTCCCAAACGGAGCCTCCTGGGAAGGGGTCCCCGCGAGGAAACTACCCAGGCTGGTCATCTCAGCCCTCTCATCTAAGGAAGGGGCTTTCCCGATGCCCCCTCCCACTGGGGAGACCAGCAGTTGCATCCCCGCTCCTCTAGTTAATACAGTGACAACCACACATAACGAGGGATCCTATACACAGGCACACCAGACAGTGCCCCCTCCTCCCCATATGGACAGGTTACGCCCATGCCCAGCCCCTCCCCCACTCCCCATAGAGTGACAATCACGTAGTGACACCTGTGATTGCTAGTTCACACATGGGGAGAAAAACAGATATTGGCAGCTTAGACTGGGGAGACACAGAAGCCTGCTGTGATCCAGACCCCTGCCCACCCAATCTCTTCCTTCCATTCTGAGTGGCTCCCATTTCAAGACATCCCTCCTCATTGCTCCTCACCCTTACCCAGCTGCTTCACATTGAGATTTCCTGAAGGAAAGGAGCAGAGGCACTTCTAAAGTGAGAAGGGCATATTGGGTTCTATAAACTCACCCTCCAGACAGAGACGTCCTTTCCCATTTCATCTCTCCTCACCAGGAACTTAACCCAGGGCACCTGTGTTAGGGAAGAGATGAAGGATGGAACTTCCTGATTTGGGAGAGGAGAGCTGAATCCAGGAATGGGTAGAAGGACAACAGGGGAAAAAGCGGAGGTGGGTTCTGGTGGCTTGAGGTTTAATTCCAGTGAGTGCCCCAGGCAAGGTGAGGCAGATGGGGAAGTGGAGATGGTGAAGAAGCTTTGGACCCTAAAGAGGCCAGCACTTAATGCCTGCTTCTGTTGCTTACTAATACAAATTCTGACTAAAGATGTCTGGCCAGTCTGCTCTTGCTGTGGTGTTTGAATTTCTTTTCTCCCCACTGGGACTGCTTTAGGCCATCTGGGTGGGAGGGAGATAACGATGGGATATTTGGGGCCCCCATGTGAAAGATGGTCTTGTTCAGGGGTGTAAGGAGGGCCCAGAGTGGTTGTCACGACATCAGCTCGGAGGGGTGGGCAGCCACCACTGAGTTCAATTTAGTTTCATACTGAAACTCTCCCTAATCTCCAAGGATTTTTGAACATATTCCTGGCATGATGGTGGGTACCATCCTGTGCCAAGTTGTAGGGCTTGTGAATTTCTCTAAGGGTAGACTGGGTATGGGGGACCAAGTTTGGAAGGAACCAGGCATCCTGACTCATAGTTGGTTCTTCAGGGAGGAAGAAATGAGGGAGGAGGGGGACGGAAGGCATCATGCCAGGGAGAGGGTCCAGGGCTGGATTGCAGAGGCAATAGGCATGGCCCCGGCAGTGCCAACTCCTTTCCCCGCTGCCTCCCCCCAGTCCTTTGGTGGTGGTGGCGAGGGAGGAAGGGAGGGAGAGGGTATTGGAGGGTGATCTGGGCCAGTCCAGCCTCCCAAAGCCCTTGCCAACCTGGGTCCTGAAAGGAGCTGCTGTTTTCTGAGCCATCCCCCCACCCCCCACCCAGAGCCTGAGCAGCCAAGTTGTCTCAGCGGATATCAAATGGCAATGACTCCACTGACAGGGTGTGTGTGGGGGGTGGGAGTGGCAGGGGTAGCAGGGTTATGGTTCCAGTCCCTCTGTGGCTCTAATGCAGAACCCCTCTGCTACCCCTTACCCTGAGGGAAAAAAAAATGTCTCCCCAACATCTGACCCACATCCAGCCTATGGGTACATATGTTTGTGTGAAGGGATTAATGATCTGCCCGCTGGTATCCCCCACCTCCTCCATGTGCCCCAATGAACCACATTCTAGCTCCCCGCCACCTGCATCACTGTGCATAAACTCATTTACAGCTCCAACTTGGTTGGCTTGAGCTACAGGGAAGTGACTGGCAGAGGACCCAGGGAACTTCCTTCCCTTGTCCTTCCTAGGGACCAGAGAGGCTGGGACACTTGGGTCAGGGTGGGCTCAGATGAAGTCCTCTGGAGTCATTCTGTGATTGGTGGGATAAGGGGTTTAAAGCTCTAGGGGGTGGGTCATGCAGAAAGATCTATTTCCTCAAAGGATACTTCCGAGTCTCCTAGTAAACTGCTTGGTTTCTGCATACAAGATGGAAAGATAGGGCGAGCCTCCTGGCATTGGTGGGGAGGAAAAGGGACATTGGGCAATGGAGTCCCTAAACTTTCCTGCCACAGGTTATTTAGGACGGAAGAAAAAAATCTCCATTCTCCCTCCCCTCCTCGGCCTAGATTCTTCTCTTGCCTGACTGGTCAGTGCTACTGTCCAGGCTGAGGCCAAGCTGTCCAGGATAGCGGTGGGGCCCTGGAAGGGGGCAGAGAAGGAATCAGCAAAGGCACGTTGTTGAGATGAAACTACAGAAAGACTGGAGGAAAGGGAGATTTAAAATATAAGTGTTTTAGCACCCAATGCTGGGGGGTTGGCTGGGCAGCTCCTGGGAATGAGAGCTCTGCAGTGCCATGCCACCTCGGTCTCTCCGGCAGGCTGAGTTTGATGCTTTTCTTCCCTCGTCTGAGTTTAGTCTACATGTTGCCACCATCCTTCATGAAGAGAGTGCATCTGGTGGCCCCTCTTCTGCCCCTCCCCCATCAGAACCTTGAAAGGGCAAAGAGAAAGGGATTGTGGGAAAAGCCCTCCCGTGGGTGGCCAGCTTGGAGCCTGGATTTGAGGTGGTGGGGGAAGGGAGGGGCTGGCTCTGGAATGTGAGAGAGTAGTAAGAGCAGAACTTTGTGGCCTGGAGAAGAAGTTGGAGAAGCAGGAGCTAGAGAGGACTGAATTAGACCTCAAGCCTCCAACAAGGTGCAGCGCAGAAAGGGAATACACAGCCATTGTGCAACTTTTCCAGTGGCAGGAGACCTGGGGAAAGGATTGCGGCTGCAGCTGGAAGGACTTAGGTTAGGTTTCAGGAAGTGCATCCCAGAAAAGGGAAGACATTTGAAATGGAGACTGGGAGGGAGAGAGAGACCACCTTCTGGACCAAGAAACCAAACCAAACCAAAACAAAAGCCACCAACCAATCCCAAAACAAAAAAGTCCAACCTTAACACTTCTGACAGGAGCAATGGAACTCAGAGGTCGGGGATTATTGTGACAACTGTCGGGGCCTCTCCTGGTGGCTGCTGTACCTCTCTCTTGCTGTTCCAGGCCTACTTTCTGCTCTGAGAGACAGGAGGCACTATGGTTAAGAGCACAGCCTTGGAGTCCGACTTTGTGGGTTGAAGCCTTGGTTTTCCACTTAGTAGCTCAAGAAGTCTCATCCTCTCAGTAGAACTGCTCCGAACTGTTGTGAGGATTCACAGTGCCTATTATAAAGGGGTTGGAATGGTGCCTAGTCTGTAAAAAGTGGCGTTTCGGGTCATAATGTTTCTCCCACCACTCTACTGTTTTCGACTCTGTCATCTTTCCTGGTTGCTGGGCTTTGCCCTAACCCTTCATTGTTTTTTTTTTTTTTTAGATTCTGTCCTAGGTTTCTTTCTTCCCACCCTTCTGGAGTTTGGGAAGGTAGACGAATTATGAAGTAGTTTAAGATGAAGTTCCTCCCTTGATTCCAATAGGCTGGGCATCACTTGAGGTGGGGTCTCCATACCCACAGCCCCTGTTTTTGCCAAGCAGATGTCTTGTCTTCAGATTCAACAAATGAGAACTGAGCTGTTGGGCTTTCGCCAAATCGTCTCTTTCTCCATTTTCAGCAGCTTCTCTTTCGGCCAAAGACTTCTGTCAATCCCCACATCTCATCCAGCTTTCATGGCCCTGCCTATCATTCTTCTCTTCTTCATCCCCCTCTCCCTCTCCTGGCCCAGGTCTGCCCCCACAGCTTCTCTCAGGTTTATATGCCCTCCTCTTCTTGTGTCTCCTGGTGGGCCTGCTCATCCCATCAGCCTAGATGCCCACAGCAGTCTCCTTAATGACCTCTCTGACCCCAGCCCCTCTCTTCTCAATTCCTTACCTTTATCCTGTAATGAAATTATCACTGGAACGGTCATCACGAGCATCAGTTTTATCTTGCCCTTTCCCTACCCAGACACATCTGTTGCCATTGGATAAAAATTTCCCAATCACAGTCTTCAAGAGACTTTATGCCTTTCCCCCATCTCCTCCAGCCCTATATTTTGCAGAACTACTTAGACCCTATTCCTGGGAAGCATATCCCAGGCAGTCTCTGAGCCATGCTCCTCCCCACACTCTGGGCCCTCACAAAGGCCATTCCAAGTCTCACCCCACCTACAGACCTCCATTATCCTGTTTCCCTCTCTGCTCTGCCATCTTGCTTGTCACTTGCATCTGTGACTTGGCCCAGGGTTTTTCATGCATGGTGATGTTGGAGTAGACACCGTGTCTTCCTCATTAGCTGGGGGTCCCCCCTAGGACAGGGCCTGTATCTCTGTCAGATTGGCAAAGACATCTCTTCTCTCTCTGGACCCTCTGGCACCCAGCAAAGGGCCTGCCTCCTAAGACACAGAGTGCCTACTGTCCAGTTTGACTCTAGGTAGGAAACAGTTCTGATTGCTTATTCTTGGGGAGGAGCCTGACTTTGGAGGTTTATGTGAGGATCCTGCAGCAGGGTGTGTATAGGATCTTATTATCTAATTCTATAGAAGACCTCAAGAGAAACCCCTCTCCTACCAACGGCCCTATCCTGTAGGGATGGCTTTACCCTAAGATTACAAGCAGTAGGCCCTAGAATCCCCAATTTATAGTCTTCTAAGCATTGTTGCTCCACCCACCCCTACATGCAAATGCAGGTATCTAGGCTCCAGAGAGCCTTTCTCCCCTCGCCAGGGTGGTCTGACTCCAGCCTGATGCTGGGCTTGTTAGCAGTATCGTCTGGAGTGGAAAAAGTGGAGAAAGGTGAGTCTAGTCTGAGGCAGCCCCACTGTCCTGAGCACACCTCTGAGCAGGGGCTTGCAAGGTGGGAGACATGTGGGGACATCTCCCAAGTCGGGTACAGGTCTGACCTCCTAGTGTTGCATTCTCACTGGACTGGCCTCCTCAGCTCCACCTCGGATCCCAGTTCCAACTGTTAGAGCCAGGCACACTCCCTGTCCACGTGTCTAAACCTCCCAGTTGACCCTGTGATAAAAAAGATATGGGCAAATGGTAAGAGGGGAGGGTGAGTGTGTTAGCATCTAAAGCACTGGTTCTTAAACTTTTTGACCCCAGGACCGCTTTACATTCTAAAAAATTACTGAAGACTCCAAAGAGCTTGGGTTTGTGTGGGTTCTATCTATGAATATTTGCCGTGTTAGAAATGAACACTGGGACAAGTGAAATATTATTAATTATTGCATGTTAACAAAATGACATATTTTTAATGAAAAGCAGCTGTATTTTCCAAAGGAAAGAAACAAAAAGTTAATAAGAAGAGTGACATTGTCTCATATTTTCAGAAATCTTTTAAAACGTGTGGCTTAGTAAAAGACAGTTGGTTTCTCATCTGCTTCTGCATTTAGTATGTTGTAATATCTTATGTCATGTAGCTTCTGGAAAACTCTACTGAACACTGTGAAATATTGAAAGTGAAAAGGGCAAATAATGTATTGTTAGCATTTTTTAAAAATTTATTTATTATTATTATTATTATTTTGTTAGCATTTTTATGAGGATAGGTTTGACTTTGTAGAGCCTCTCAGGAACCCCCAATGGTCCCTGGACCGCACTTTGAGAACTGCTAGTCTGGAGGAACCTCAGATGACAGTTTCAAAAACCTGGGCCAATTTGAATATCCTGGCCGATTTCCTTCAGCCGCCATGGTCTTTTGAATGTTCTCACTAGGAAGGTAGTATGGGGTGCTGGTTCATCATGTAAGTTCTGCTTCCATTCTACAACTCACTAACTATGTGGCCTTGGCCAAATTATTAATATCCCTGTGCTTCAGTTTTCTCATCTATAAAATGGGTCTTTAAAAAGCAACCACTTTTAGAGTTGTTGAAAATTAAATGACATAACAGGAAAGGGCTCAGTGTAGTGCTCAATGCTGTGATCTCTCGTTAGAATCCAGACCAGTGCCCCTGAACTCACTGTGCGTGGTCCCGAAGGCAGGGAGCTGCAGGTGATCACACAGGGGCTCAGCCCAGAGAGGGAAAGGGACTTGCGCAAGTTCCCAGAGAAGGTCGGCAGCATTGTTGGGCCCTGAACCCAGGAGTTCTAAGGCCTAGCTCTGTCTCTGCTCTCCCCACCAGACTTCTTTTGTGGAGAGTGGAGGAGTAAGGTCCTGAGACCAGGAAGGAAGCAGATCTTACCTTTCTTTTCCCCAGCAATCTCAGGTGAGCCCAGGGCCAGAGCACTACAGTGGGAAGCCTTGAGGGCAGATTGCAGGGAGAACTTCCTGACATCAACAGCTGCTGGAAAGAGGGGAAAGAAAGCTGGGAAGACATTCTCAAGCCCAGAGATTTTTCTGTCTTGCCTTATGGGGAGCAGTTCTACAAAGTGTCCCCGGCCTTCTCTCCTGGGGCTCCTGGGAAGTCTGTGATTGGGCGACCCTGCTTCTCAAGAGCTGCTCAGTCCTGCTCGCTGCCCTCCTCCCAGCTCTCCCACTACCCCAGACCCGGGAGCCTCTCCCCAGATCACGCCTTCACGCCCTGTGCTTTGTGCTGTTCCAAGGCAACATGGTGCCTTGGAAAAGGCAGCTGGAGGTGCTGAGGGCGTTAATGAGGATAGGGGTGCCTGCTGGGGTTCCCTGGGTAGGAGAAGGGAAGCCTCTTCCCACAGACTGGGGAATGGGAGGAAGCAGATGGGGAGATAGACACATACTGGGAAGACCTAGTCCTGGCCCATTGGCCCTTCAGCTAAATTCCCCTGAGCTGGGCTTCCAGCTCCACCTCCACTAGTTCAGATTGAATTCCCGAAAGAGCACAGATGGGAGGGGACTTTGTCCCGAATCACTACCCCTGCTTCCCCTGTAGTAGCTTCATCAGCCTCCAGAATCACAACAGGTGGAGATTGCAAGGAACCCCCCAAGGAAGCAGAAGTCCCAAAACCCCAAACCCTGAGCACATAACACATGCCCTTTCTGCTGGGGTTGGAGGGCTCGCTGTGTATTACTCCGTTTTTCTTCTTCTGCCTACACAATTCCTTTGCATAGATGGTCAAACTGAGGCAAAATGTGGGAGGACTCAGACTGCCCACCCACGTCTTTCTAGAGCCTAGCCTGGGACCAAGGGGCCTGGCCTCCCACAGCCCCTCCCCTTCCACTCCTACCAGTCCTTGCGGCTTTTTCCATTTGGAAAGTCCTTTCTGGCGAGTGGCAGGTTTGGGGGCCCTAGTCTAGTCTCCTCCCCTGTCTCCTGGGCAGTGGCCCCAGGGGAGCCCCTGTGGGCCAAGATCTCCTCAGTCTCAGTCCTGGCCCCTCCACTCTCTACCAGCAGCCCCCCAGCTCCCGCTCCTGGGCTGTGGGACAGGGAGAGGGCTGAGGGGCTGGCTCTGCATACTAATGTCCTGCCCATTGTCAAAGCCCCTTTGTGCCAGGGAGCTCCATTGAGGCGGCTCCGGGGCGGGCACAATGGGGGCTCTGTCCCCTAGTTCCCCCAAACAGTCACCTGCTTTCAGAGCCTTCCCCCAGCCCCCCCTTCGCTCCAGTGTCCGGAGGGCCCAGAGAGCACGGGGGAGTGGGCCCTGGACCAGGGGGGATGGGCAGGAGGCGACCCCCCCCACTCTCTGGGCAGGCTGAGGAGATGGGCATTTGTCAGGGCAGGCTGCAGAGGGCACACAGAGTGGAGAGGCCCTAGACTCACAGGGGTGAGGGCAGTCTGTGGAGGAGTTGGAATGCAGGTTCTATGCGGTGTGAGAAGGGGAAGGGGCACTCAGAGCCTGCCCACTCCTCCGTTCCATATGCTCAGCCTGGGTCTGTGGCTGCTGCCTCTCCTCCTCCCACCGCAGGACTCCCTGGGGCTCATATATGCAGAGACACATAGGCACACACTCATCTATGCGGCCACACACACGGCTCCCAACCCACATCCAAGCGGATGTGCCCAGACACAGCACACCGACCCCAGCACACAGACTGCACCCTGGCATATGCACCTGCACACCCACCCTCCGCCCACCCCACCCCTTTCCCTTTTGCACCCTGTCCACGGCCGCAGGCATCTCAGCACCGTGTCCCTCCCCCACTGCCCTTGCCGCCCTCTGCTGCTCTGACACAGGTTATAACAAGTTTGCACTTGTTGTGACCTTAAGAATGTGGCCCTGGGGCTGAGAATGTCCCGCTGCCCCAGACTGCACCTGCTTATACGTTAACCATGGACACAGACTCCACTGCACTCTGAGCGCGGCGCCCATTCCCACCCCAACCACGGAGAGAGAGAGGTGGGCCAGGCCGCCCACCCCAGAGCTGAATAGAGTACCCTGGACTGAGCTATAGATGAATAACGAGAGCTCCACCTGGCCTCGCTGGCACAGGTCTGGTGTCACCATCTTTGCCTTTGCCCAGGGCACATAGGTATTTCCTAGCCCTTCCAGACCCTGGGAGATAGATGGAAGAGTTATCATTTTCCCTGCGAGGCTCTGAGAGGTGAGATGATGTGTCCAGGCAGCTGGTGGCCAGGCTGGGACTAGAATGGAGGTCTCTTGCTTCTAGGTTTTTGTTTTTGTATTTTCTCCCCCGCCAGCAATGTGTCTTGGCTTCACTCAGATGACCCCACCCCCCAACCTATCTACAAATCTAACAGAGCTGTCTTTTACCCACCTTTTTTGGGAAGGAGTGGGGGCATGGAGAGGGGAAGGGGTGGGGAGAAGAATGGGTCTAGGGACTTTAAGGGGGCTTCTAGGTCTAGAAAGAACCTCTGAGGGTCACCTTGACCCTTGCACTACCCCAGGCAGAGTGAGCCTACCTCCTTTCACTTCCCACCCTCCTACAGGCCCCACTACTGCTATGAACTCTGGATCTCTGGAAAGTAACCCCACAGCCTTCTTAGCTAGGGTTTAGAGTTGGGGATCTCTATCAATTACAGGTCTTTTATGATGCCTAGCACTGGACTTCCCAGTTGTTATCCTATGTCTGCATGAGGAGCTGTAGGCTGTATCTATGGTTCACCTGCCATTCTGGTCCAGAGCATCTTCTAGCAGTCAGGAGCAGATGCCCTAAAAAGGGAAGAGAGGAAGGCCCACCGGGGTTCTGGAGACTTGAGGGCTGACTGCGTAGTGGTGTGCTGGGGCCTGGGAGGGTGGATGGGGTCATGGCTGGAGAAACTCGGTTAGATAGAGAACTAAGCTGATATGGGTTTGCTCATCAGCAAATATTATTGAGTGCTGATCGCCATGATCAAAATTTCATGTGAGAACCTCAGGGACCTCCTACTCCTTCTCCCTGCCCCTTAACTAGAGTGCTTCCCCTCTGGTTACTGGATTCTCCTTAAGCTACCTCATCCATCTATCTTCCTTTGGGCAGGAACACACCTTCCCCAGCCCTTATACTCCGGTGTGATTCTTTTGCCTCCAAATGTCCCCTGCTGGAGAAAAAACTGTCCAAAGTACAACTTCAACTTTCCCTGCTGTGCTTGGGCAGTTAGTTACACAGGAGATGGAGGATGGTGAGACATCCACCTCTGAATCTAGTTCTGTGTCTAGGCAGTGTCCTCATGCCATCCCTAACCCATCCTCCTTTTTTTTTTTTTTTTTTTTT